ATTAAAGTCTCTTTGAATGATCTTTACAGCATTAATGCTGACAAGATCACAGGGGTCAGCCATGTCGACACCCAAACGTCTTGTTTATCTACGAGAAACTGAAGAGAACTGCCCCAGCAGTGACCCAGAACCATTGCCTGACAGCTTCAACTCGAACACAGCGTCACCACTTTCAGCGACACCGACGAACTCGCCAAGCCTCAACTAGAAGTCAAAGACATCTGCAGTCCGAAAAAAAAACACAGAAAGCCAAGACGTCAAGCAAGACCACCAGTCCCAGGGACAAGACGCCACTACTACCAAGTCCTCACCGCCTCCCCCAGCCGTGATCATCGAGGGAGTTCCAGGGACCTTTCGCCGATTCCGACATAGCAACAGAACTGCACAAATTCTTCCCCATGACCACCTTCACCCACGTCCGACGCCTTCCAATGGGTGGCATTTCTAATAAATGCACCGACTCCCAAGGATATTCCACACCGAAGCCAAGATTTCTTTCCATGTTGCAGGGGAATCCACTCCAAAGAAAGATCTGGTCATTCGCAAAATTCCTATGGATATCACCATGGAAAAAATCAAGGAGGAAATTTCAGCCCAAGGTCTGCAAATTGCTAAAAATGAGTGTATCAAATCCGCCAGGACTGTCCTCATCACACCTTTAGTCAGGATATCCATCTCTGACCTCCAAGCGGCAGAAAACCTCATTCGGGAATGGTGTATCCCTGTGGTACACACATCACCAGGTTGACCCCACCCACCCAGACCATTACAGTGCTACAACTGCCAGCGAGTCAGACATACAAAGACTCCATGCACGACAGCGACCAAATGTCCCACGGCAAGAGAATCCACCCGATGTGCCAACTGTGGAGGCGCTCATGCTGCTTCTTTCAAAGCATGCCCCAAGTACCAACAAGTCAAGAATAAGGTAAGTACTAACACTTTTCTTCCTCAGGAAGACTAAACGGCGCACCAGAAGAAAAAAACCATGCTGTGCCCCACCAGCTAGAGTAACGCTGCTCGTAGAACTTTCATGACCAACTAGGACGGACCAACCCACTGATCCACCAATCCTGATCCAAGCCAGCGCCTATACATCCATCGCCACCTGTTCGCACCTCAAGCATACTAACAACCAACATTTATGCTCGAATAATTGGATTCGTCATGGATGTGATTTTCAATGTAGATCATGACCCACAGAGGATCTGCCACTACGTGCGTGTAGGTCATGACCCACAGAGGATCTGCCACAACGTACATGTAGATGATAACCCTCAGAGGATCTGCCATAATGTGCATGTAGATCATGACCCACAGAGGATCTGCCACTACGTGCGTGTAGGTCATGACCCACAGAGGATCTGCCACAATGTACGTGTAGATCATGACGCACAGAGGATCTGCCACAACGTACGTGTAGATCATGACCCACAGAGGATCTGCCACAAAGTGCGTGTAGATCATGACCCACAGAGGATCTGCCACAAAGTGCGTGTAG